ATATTGAGAGTGGGGTGTTCAGGTCCCCTGCAATTATAGTATTAGTGTCTATTTCCTTTTTTAGTTCTAATAGAGTTTGTTTTATGAATCTGGGTGCTCCAACATTTTGGAAGATGCTTTTGCCTTCACTGATACCCTCTTGCCTTCCCACTCCATTCCCCCTACTCCTACTTATTCCCCCAGGTCTGAGCCAAGCATTTATTTCTCCAGAAATTCTTCCCAAACTTCAGGACTGGTTTAGAAACTCCTGTTTCACACTTCATGGCCCCTCTACCCACATTCATAGCACTTATCCCCTGCTATGCTTGTGGAAATTGTGACAGCTCCTTCTAGCCTAAGAATCAGACTCTTAGTAGCACTGATGAGTCATGTCTGAAGGGGCACACTTGCAAAAAAATTATATATTGTTTTTAAAATATCTAGAAAGAACTTATGTTTCTTCCACACTTCCCTTTTCATTCTGATTGCTCTTCCTTTTTTCCCAACTCACTAAATTTATTGAGGTGTGTTATTTTGCATTACTTGAATTATACACCAATCATAAGACTCACACTATATATAAAAGATTAGTCACTTTAGTTTCACTAAAGTATTCTCATATTTCAAGTACAATGGTGTTCTTGTTTTGGCTCACAATGCACAGAACAGGAAGAAGAAAGGTGTATCAAAGAAATGTCTTTTGTTGCAATTAAGTTCTGTTAGCCAGCCTGTTACCTGGTTTTTAGGTAATGTCTCTATGGCTTTCTCTTCTTAAAGCTGCTGCTGGTATCTTAAAGGAGGTTTAGGTTTATGGATGCCATTCTAGTCGAGGTTTATTTGACCAACTATTATAGGCTGGCACTGTCCTGGGAACTCTACAAACATTCTAGGCTTGTCTGTAGGAATAGAAATGAAACATTAGTGCCGTGTAATTATGGACTTGCCCAATTTGTGAGAGGTGTGGTGTTCCAGGAAAGTCTGAGGTTATCAGAGCTGCTGGGTCAGTCAGCAGACATGCCAAGGAAGGAGTGAGCCGTGGGAGGTGCTGAGGAATGAGGTGAGAGGACGCAGAGCATAGCCAAGGCACAGTGAGACCCGTGATGATGTCCACAGTAGCATATTCTGATGAAAATAGCACACATGATCTTAAAAAATTGCCTAACCGCTCTGAGCTTTATTTTTCTTATGAAATGGGAATAACAATGGTAAACATAATCATTTCCACCTTACAAGATTATAGTGACAGTGGAGACAATGTCTGTGAAAGTGTTTTGTAGAAGACAGAGCAGAAATTATGATGAAGAAGATGATGGTGAAGGTGATGCTGAAAATGCTCCTTTTCCACACTGAAAGATCAGGAAAAAATAGTTCTTCCTGCTCCTGTAGAAATAGAAGATCCCTCAGTGCTCTTTCCTGCAGCTGAGAGATTGCATCTTGATATACACTTTGGCGTGTGACTAGCACACACAGAAAGTTCTTAAGGAGTCACTGGTGAAAGTCAAAATGAGTGCTGGCAAGGGACCCTGTTACCTGGCCACAATCTGCACTTGCACTGTTTGATTTTGTTCCTTTCTTAGGACATTAAAGTAATTTATTCATTTTAAATGAGGAAAGGATACCTACCATATGCTATTCCAAGCCCTTAAAGAGTTTATAATCTATCAAAACACACACATGCAAATACACACAGACACACAAACACACACATAAATAAAACACATCAAAAATTTGAGCACAGCTCTCATAAACACATGTACAATGTGTTTTTTGAGTTCAACTGAGTGGAAATCTTCACAGAAAATACGAACATGACCAGATACCTGAACAATTAAATAGGTATTGTCAAACAAAGATGGGGAGCATGTGTCAGTCACGTGGGACAGGCTGAGCAACATGAAAATAGTGGATTTGGCTTTCAAATAGTACCTTGCACCCACAAGTTAGGGTCCTTGGTAGAAAATGGCAAAACAAATAGGAAAGGAAGATAGGGTAAATTTGTGGAAGGATTCAAAATCCATGCTCAAGAGTTTAGACTGTCCTCAAGAGGTAAAGAGCCATCGGTGTTTTATAAGAAGGTGCCTTGGTCCAATCCGTGTTTTAGGAAGATAACTGGCATTTATAGATGAAAACAGAATATCTTCACAATTTTGGGTTTAAGATTGAGACAGAATCACAAAAGACAGGCAGACCAGATATGAGACCAATCCAGAGAAGGAATGTAGCCTAAACTAGGGCAGTGTTCATGAAAAAGGAGAAGAGGAGAAATATTCATGTGATGTTTTAGTGGTAACACCAATTAACAACTCCAATGTGAAAAAGGAGGGTACAGAGTTAATCTTGATATTTTGTGCTTGAATTTTTAGACAATAGTTGTTCTTAACCAAAAGTTGGCATCCAGGAAGGTATAGCAGGCTCAAGGAGGATGGTGATGTGTTTCACCTTGGACGTGCTCAGTTTTCCTGTAGGACATTCAGATGGACTTACTTAGGAGGCAGGTGCAAATTTAGATGAAGTTAAACACACGGATAGGTGTTATCAGCAGTTATTGAAGGCTTTTAACTGGATGGGATCATGTACAGAGAGAATTTTGAGTAGGATAAGAAGAGCCCTGGAAACACTTATGACAAATAAGCAGAGTGAAGAAATATGATCTTAAAGATAAGTCATTTTTGCATAAAATGAAATCCATTACAAGATCAGTGACTTGATCTTCTACTAATGTGGTCCCTGAAGTCTCATTTCCATACCAAATCACACCTTTGGGACCAATGACTATATTCATTCTAAAGGCATTGAGTGCCTACATTATGTCAACTATTGTCCTAGGGATATGAGGATAAAAAAACAAATTGGACATGGAAGCATGAAATTCAATGGCAAAAGAGGAGCTGAACAGCTGTTACCCTTCTAACGTTTATTGATAGTGTTCAACAGGAAACAACAATGCTTCCACAAATGCCACAGTCTCAGAAGCTGTTTCAAGCTTGTGAAAGTTTCACCAAACTAAAGCTAGATCATGATTACACAATGTAGCCCTTCTCTGGTAAGACCAACTAACCAAAATTGTAGGGAAAGCTTGTGTTTAGCTTTTTTTATGCTGCTATGGTCTAAATATTGGTGTTCTCCCAAAATTCATATGTTGAGACCTAACCACCAATGCAATAGTATGAAGAGATGGCTCCTTTACAAGGTGATTAGGTCATGAGGGCTCTGCATGAGGGTGCTTCCAATTAAACTCAAATCTATTCACTTCTGGTGGTTCTTTGACGTTGCAGGGATTACAGTAAATGAAACTGATTGGATTTGCAAGGGCAAGAGACCCTTTATTTGGACTTCCCAGACTCCAGACCTGTGAGCAATAAATTTCTATTGTTCATAAATTACCCATTCTAAGGTATTTTGTTATAGTGGCCCTAACAAACTAAGATATATACTATTTTCTAACAGACCTCATTTTTGCTCTCTCATACTTACTTCAGACCTCAGTGGCTTTGAGTCTCACTGTAGCTGCCCAAAGAACCCAGTTAGCAGGGAAGAGTGCCCATGCTTGTGAACTACACAGCCACCACTGGAATACATGCTCCTGTCTCCCAGTCCCTGAGGGGTATAATATTTTTGAATGGTAATAAATGGGAATGATAATCTGTAAAGTCAATTCCTTTCAAAAAACATACCACAGTGCATACCCATTAAATTGATTACTGGTAAAGGTCCCTGGAAGGTATAATAGTTATTTCAGGTGTTGCAAGTTAGTGGTTAAATTATTTTGGTCAGGGGATTTTCTACATCTTTCAATTCATGTCACATTTACTCATGTATACCATATTCATGGATTCCACAATACTTGCTGAAAATCAATATCTGCAAGGTCTAGTGCTAATCATCACAGTGCCATGCTATAGGCTGCCCCTGAATTATATAGCTCCTATTCAGATAAAAGTCTTTTGTGATGAAAACACATTTCAGTAAGCCATTATAGTTTATAAATTCTCAAGTAAGTTTAGCATGGTCTACTGATTCTCTATTTTAAATATGTTTGTAAAGTTACTTACAGCTTATTATAACCATATATGCAAATCATTTCCCTTATAAATTTAAATTCTTGTATTTAAAATTGGCTCATCAACCTATATAAGAATCTGTAAAAGTAACTTTGTGTGTAATAAATTAGCAACATTGAACCAAATCAGACAAATTAAAAAAGCATTCTTTCCTTTCATTGCTTGATTGCTTGCAATCAAAGTGCTGGTAGTCTTACAATTGGACAGAGGAGAACAATCACACTGTACAGGTATGTTGTATTTCTTTATTCTGATAAATAGAGAAAAAACTAACAAACTACACAGCACATGAAATGATATACTGTAAATAACAACTGCCAACAATTGAAAGGTCTTTAACATTTGAAAAACTATGTACACATTAAGTCTTATCAAAGAAAAGCCAAAAGATGTCAACTTGAAATTATTAATGAAATATTTTGGTTGGTCCCCAATCCCAGTTCCATATTTTTCAGCATCTAGATTACACACTGATTCAAAATCATATGTGTTAGAGTAGACCCAAGTGTCTCCATAGATCAACAAGGAAAAGTTATCTTTCACACTTATTCTAGGAAGCCGCAAGGCTTACTTCCTATATCACTTACAAGGAAGCTAGAATATCTGCGATTACTGTAGAGTTTCAGAAAAGACTCCTAGGACTGCTTCTACATTCTCATTACCAGGGGTGCGCTGTCCATAAAATCCAGGTGGGCCATGGGGGAGAATAGAAATGAGTATGCATAGAAAGACAATGAAATCAGAACAGGTGAGAGAAATGGTGGTGGAAATGCTAAGAGGGATCAGGGCAACCAACCAGGTGCCTGAGAAGAGTCAAGTCACCAATATCATCTCCTGACCAATTTTAGGAAGAATAAACTCAACAGTAGCACCGGGTGCTTCCAATTAAACTCAAATCTATTCAATTCTGGTGGTTCTTTGACACTGCAGGGATTACAGTAAATGAAACTGATTGGATTTTCAAGGGCAAGAGACTTTGCCACTAAATAAGATGATATCATCCTTCCTGATAACAAATAGGAATGGGTGATCAGCTCTAAACACCTTAGACTCAGGGAGTTGCTTTTCTACGATGTTACTTCCTGTGGTAGCAGTCGCCTCGGTGCCTTCCTCCGTAACCTCTATGTACGACTTGTGCATTAGTTTTGATATGTATAGACGACCTCCCGCAGCTATACCAGAGAGGTCGGCTCTGGATTCATCAAAAATATCTTTCAGCCCTAGGGCTTTCAAATATAATTTGATATCATAATTCTCCTCTATCTTGAACTGAGGAAAAAACACCTCGACATACTGATAGGTCATTTTTTGAGGACTGGTCCAATCCATTAGATTCCGAAAGGTCAGATTGTTTTCGATCTGTAGGAATAATTAAAAGGTAATTTAGGATTACATGGTTAAGCAATGGATGAAACAACAACTATAAAGATATACAGTTTTTTCATAATTATCCCCTCCCTGGTATTTGTATTTAAGTATAAGAATGGGTTCTGGGGGAGCCTGGAAAGAGAAAATGATTCAAATGAACAGTTCAAGTATTTTTAACAAATGATATGTTTAATTTGCTCTGCTATGAAAAGGCATGACTTATTTGTACTTCAGGGCAATTCTATTCTCTGTCCACAAATGAACAGAGATAGCCAAAGCTGAACAACGGACAGGTGAAAAGATTTGGGAATCAGATTTCATCAGAGGGAGAAAGGAGCTCAACAGTCACTTAAATCAGTGTTTTCTCACCACTTTCCCATCATGAAAGACATAGGAAATGATAAGGCTTGCACCGCTTGCTGGAGTAAACCAATGGAACCTCAAGTGGCCTAAGATAAGGAGCCCAGAGCTCCAGCCATGAGGGTTTGGGTGATCAAAGTCTCTCAGCACAGTCACCCACACTGTCTGGGAGGCTCAGATCCAAACAGACTCTTCTACTCAACGGATGAGAGAGATAAAGCTCAAGAGGATGTAGGGAGAGAGCAAGTAACCTTAGTCCACAGCTAGAAGCCTGCATCTCTCTCTTCAACAGCATTATTGCCCCCAAATGACCAACAAATTGAATTCGCCAACTTTCGAATTCTGAGAATTGATCATATATCCTTCCAGATTTGGAATGGGAAGATTTTTTGTGAACATAGTTTAGAAATCTTATATAAGGACATTTCTTCTCAAATTCAGGCTCACTGCAATCCTAAACAGCTTTTCACAGATATTAAATGTTACTTGTATTCTTATCAAGGACCTAAATTTATGCAAAGTTAATCTAATCTGAATTTTCTGTGTGCAAATTATCCAGTTTGTGGTTAATCTGTAATAAGTTTTTATTCTGAGTGGGATTTTTTTCCCCTCATTTAGAACATAGCAGAGCCAACTTCCTTATCTTGTCTGTTTAAGTAGGATTATGTAGGTATTTACTATTATGCAGTATGTAGATTTATACTAGTCCAGTCAACACATTATTAGTTAAATCTACTGTAGGAAAAAAGACTCAGACAATAAGTACAGGAATAAGTCTATCTTTTGAACTACCTATTGCTTGTTTATCTGGACTACATTTTCTGTTATTGCAGGTTATTTTAAGTTAAAATAACTGATGTATGCAAAAATCTGATTGTTATAATGATTATCAAGTGAATTAATGATTTAATATGAGTACCAGGTTTTACATTGTCACACTTTAGATTTAACAATGTCAATTTTATGACATTTCTATTGCTGCTCATGTCAAAAAAAAGGTAGTAAGATGAAAACTTAATTACAGTCGTTGTCATTACAATAAGTCAGTGGTTTTTGTCTATGTAGAAATAGTATCTGCAAAACTTTAAAGACATGTTGTTAAATCACAAGAAAAAGATTGGTAGAAATAATAGCTCTGAATGGTAGAAGCATGTTTCTTTACATTCTTTTTTTTATTGGTTATGAATATTCATGAGATACAAAAATGATTGTCTACTTTCCAATTATTCTCCAATAGACATTCATTATTTTCCAAATCAAAACAAATATTTAAAACTATAGATGTAACTTTTTAGTGTGGCTGAGATACATATATGCATGTACATACACACATACACCTGCAAATACACATATTTGTACATATGTATCTACAAGACAAATTGACTAAATTCCATGAGCCTCCTTTCCCTATCTCACATGGTTGCTGTAAGGATCAAATGAGATAAAATAAATGAAGCTCAGAGCACATGGCTTGGCATGTAGGCCTGTAGCTAGTGATCAGTAAATGGTGTCTGTTATTCCTTTTTACTGGGAGAACAGAGAAAGGCGATGATATCTAGGCCTCCGGGATTGCAGGTCAAAGAACCAAATTCAGGAGGAGAAAAAGGGGAATAAGGGCCAAGGGAAGATCAGGATCTGAGATACAGTGATGGTGTCTGACTTGCTTGGCCACCACTGTCTGCGCCTTGCCCCGTGCTCGTCTGTTTCTTCTGCTACATTTGTCACATGGCAGTCTCTAACCCCTACTTTACAGTACAGACACAGCGACAAAGAGTGAGAACATACATTTTAATAATTTTCAAAGGCTCAGGACACCATCATATCATACCTGCCTGAAGATGCCTGGCCTTTCAAAATTTTAATGACACATAAAAGATTGTTTTCATGGACAAGCACCAAATAGACTTAAACTCATGCCTTTTGAACTCCATAGCTGAGATTTGAGAGTGTCCCAACATTACTGCTATTGAGCTAAAATTATGCTAAACTGAGATAAATCAATCTTAACATCTGTAATGGTGTCTGGCACATAGTAGGTACTCCTTAAATAGTTGTCAAATTAGTCAATAAGGGGTAAGTCTCTAATATCCCAACAACCTGAAATCTTAACATTGATGGATGAAAACACAATCAACGGTATCCTAAAAGCCTTTTGTTCCCCAGTAGTGAAAGTGACAGTTGTAACTTACTTGGGATAGGTCACCGTCAGGCAGCAGAACATACATGCTTATGCCACCATGATATCTGAGCTCAAGAACCTGCATGGGTGGGTCCTTAATAACAGACAAATTGAATTTCCGTTCTTGATGCATCATGGCAACTGCTTTCCCAGAACACTGAAAGTCAAGTCACAAAAATTATTTATAATCTCACCTCATTTTACTTGTTGACCAAGCACATATAAGAATATTGTACTTGATCAATAAGTTTTTGCTCAGTGATCCTGTAGATTTTTCCTGACCTGTTGTCAAAAGTTGTTGCATTGCTACACATCACAGTGGTAAAAGTACAGACTTTGAGTTGACTTCTTGATTTTAAAACTATCTCACTGTGTGACCTTGGGTAAGTTACTTCACCTCTCTGTGCCTCTGTTTCCTCATTTATGTCATGGGAATGGCAATAGTCCCTGCTGCACAGGATTGTTGTAAGGATTATGCAAATTAATATATTTAGCACTTGGAACATGGCCTTGCACTTAGTATTTTAACTGAAAATGTTTATAAGTAAGGAATCATTATTAAATAGCATTAAAATGAAATGAATGCTATAGATTTTTTCCCTTACCAGAAGTAAAATACAGACTAGAACTATCAAAATTGCACAATTTATGAATGAGGTCTTAGAAAAATTAAAAATTCCTGCAAGATATTTGAAAATATCTCTCAAATTAACGAGAGAAACACAGTAGCTCTTACCTTGGAAATACCATTTATAGATTTAGAAACACTATAAAATTACAGTAAACTTTTTTCCTAATGATATTATGACCTGGAAATTTTTCAACATTTCTGTATATATCCCTGTTAGGACAAAAGGTTCTATGTAGGGAGGACAGATAATTCTCTGTCCTTGAACCAGAGTTTCTTCTCCCTCTGGAAAGGTTGCCTTTTTTGACTCAAAAAATCCTCAGAAAGAACTCACATGGAGCAATAAAGGAAAAGAACACCCCCGTCTAGTGAAACAGGTCAGCAGAACAGAATGTGGTACAAAGGGGGCTAGAATGTCATAGGCATGATGTCTTATTTCCAGACCGGATCAGGGACAGAATCACACAGCTGGGTTAGTGGGAGAGGGAATTCTACTGATTTTTAATGAAATGCAACTGGCACTGACATCAACTATCTAGATTCCATAGCCTATTACATTATAACATATAGGTTATAATTATATTAGACAGGGTGTGTGGATCAGCTGTGAAGAGTGTTTAAAACATTATAATTACTTAGCAATAGTCTTTTCAATAAAAGCTTCTTTAGAGGCAAAAAAAAAAAGAAAAGAAAAGAAAAAAATACAAGAGACAGGAATGCTTTCTGCTTGGTCTTCGTTGTCGGAACTGAGGCAACAGAGGCCATCTACTGCTGGATGCAGTGGGGGAGAAGTTGAAGGAAGGAGTGGGGAACGAAAACTCACTTCCAAACCCTGTCAGCCCAGGTCACTAAAATTAAAAAACTACCTCATGTTTGATATTGCAATTACACAGATAATATTCTGTGTATTTTTTTAATTTAATTTTATTTTATTTTATCAATATACAATGTGGTTGATTTTCGTGTCCCTGTACCGAATCTTCCCTCCCCCTTCCTTCTACCCCCTCCCGCCCATCAGCATCATATCTATTCGCTTGTCTTGACAACTTCAAGGAGCTGTGATTGTTGTGTCTTCTTCCCCACCCCTCCCTTGTTTGTGTGTTTATTTATTTATTTTTAGCTCCGACAAGTAAGTGAGAACATGTGGTGTTTCTTATTAGGATTTATTATTTTTTCATATGCAATTTGCAAAATTTTTTTGTGCCTATCTTTTTCTTCCCAAGACAGCTACATTGGACACTTGCTCTTTCAGGCTCTGACTTAGGACCCCGTGGTCATGGACACAAGGCAGGGCTGGGCGACGACCACACAGGCTGCCAGAGACGAGCCAGGGCAGCGAAGCCTAACGTGTACCCTAGTCTGAGTTCTATTGTGCCCTTGGGTCTTTCGATCCTCCCAAAGAGTTACCATACCTGTGGATACAGCCTGCCCAGGTGGCCTTTTATTTCCCATCTCCTGACCCATTCAGTGACCTTTATTTGCTAAAAGCTCTCAGCACTCCCACATCTAAAACTTATGACATGGGAAGATGTAGAAAGAATATTTCAATAGATGAAAAATATCACTTGAAAAAAAGGTCTAATGTTAAATCTGAATTTCTCCGTCTCATCATAAAAGGCTGAGTGATTGAAAGGGATTTTAGACATCAACTAACGAAATATTTTACACGTGAGGAGAGGGAGGTCTGCAGTAGTTTATGTGCCTAAAACAACACGGCTTCTGTAAAGGAAGGCAGGGAGCCCAGCATGGAATTTCTGACTCTAAGGCCTTTGATGTTTCACTATTCTAAAAGGATTATGTACAAATTGGAAAAAATCAAGAATATATGTTTAAAGAAGGTTGGTAATAAGATGTTTTGGATCAAAAATAGAGCTAAATGAAGAGATAGGCATAACATACTTGGAAATGCATAACTACTCTAAATACAACTTTTTCTCTTATGAAAAAACACACATTCTTGCTTTGACTCAGGAAAATCATTGAAGGCAAATGACTCTAATTGTAGAACACACAGTTAAAATCATGAAAAATAAAAGGCACATTTGTGTCATATTTTCTTATAGGCCTCCAACTAGAATATCTTAAATTTGTATTTTAATACTTCTTTCAATTGTGAATATATCTTAAGAAATATCAATTTATGGAACATCCTTTTTTGTGTTTCATAGCCTGCATTAGCAGGAAAATAGAAAGTTTGCTTTATAAAGCAACTGACCATACAGTACTGGTAATGCAGAAGAAGAGAAATTGTAAACCCAGCATTTGCTTATGTAAATACCAGAGTTTCCTGCAAAGAAATACTAATGAGAAAAAATTCCTTAATTAAATAGGAGATTCACATACCTTGGGAGATTTAAAATGGCAATTTATGGTTTCATTCCTGGTGAAGGCTGATTCCCACTTGCCTTTGAAGTATACGACATTTACCAGCACCATTACAGCAGATGAGCTGATCATACCATTTCTAATCACGTTCGTGATTTTGCCTTTGGAAAAATAAATTAAAGAAAAAAATGTTCATTTTTAAGATTAATTTTTTAAAATGTTTTTAAAGGCCATAATGGACATGAAGTTTTTTCTTACCACACAATAATTATGATACTAACAATGATATTGGTAATAACTCATAGACAATTAAATGTGTCCAGCACATTCTACACCCTCTAGGTGCAATATTTGGTTTAACCCTGACAAAATCCCTATGAGGTAGACACTATTATTGTTTCTGTTTCCTGTTGAAGAAGCCAAAGCACAGAAGGATTTAGTAACTTCTGCAGACTCACACAACAAGACAGCAGCAGCAATAGGATTCCATCTCAGGAAGACAATCCCCAGAACCCCTGCTCGTAGGCACCAAACTGCCTTTGTGGCATTGACTATGCTTCATCTGGTTACTACAGCACTCCAAGTATAATTTAACTCCATTCATTAAAAGGGGTAACTTCTTTGCTCCTTCCACATTAATGAGATTTTTGCTAGATGTCATGCACTATGCTGGGTACTTGAATTACAACAATGAAAAACATAGCCCATGTCATCATTAGACTCACAGTCTAGCACACAAAAAAGCTATTGTAGCATACCAGTAGCATAGAGGTATGGCCAGTGAGCTGTGAGAGCACAGTTTAGGAGCACCCAGCTCTGGCTGGAGATATCTGCTTGGGCTGGGGGTAAGTTGGGGATAGGGAGAACTTCCCTAAAGCAGGCATTGTTTATTCAAAGACATGGAAGCCTGGAAAAGCAAAGTGTATTCAAGGAAACCCTAACTCGTTGAAAATAATGTCCTGTAAAACCACTCTTAGTCTTTGTTCACAAGCTAGAGTGAGATATTTTGGTTAATTCAGTAAATTAATCTATGAAATGGCCATAATATCTGTTTGTCTCACAGGGTTGGTTCATAAGCAAATGGGATAATGTAAAAGACAAGATTTCTGAAAAGTATAAAGCATTCAAATTATTAAGATTACTCAAAACCACATTGCAGGCAAATACTAAAGCAATTTTAAATAACAGCAATCATTATTTTGTATTAGGAGGAGCTGTTCCTTGTATGTACAAGAGATTCCTAGCTTTAAAGTTGGCAATTCTCAGTATTCATATATAACTGACAAATCTTAAAGAAAAATAGGTTATTGAACTCACCATGTGTCTCATTTTCAACCCATTTATTAATTTTATATGTGGTATCTTCTACATCATTTGTAAAGTCTACTCGTTGCACTTTGGCATTGTATAATTTTTCAGCACACTCAATGTAGTCCTATAAATAAGAATACAGATCTTGTATTTACAAATCGCCACCCACTAAGCATATAAGAAATATATTTTTGAACCTGTCTTTTCATTTCCAGTGCTTTATACTTTTCCTGTTGAGGAAGCTGAGGTGCAGAGAGATTAAATGACTTGTACAAAGTCATACAACAAGACAAGCGATATACTCAACCTTGCCTCAAAAATGAGTGAATACAAGGGTACTTCAAAAAGTTCATGGAAAAATAGGCTTAAAACATAATGCAAATCCTTCTGTGAACTTTTTTTTTTTTTTTTCCTTTTTGTCTTTTTTCGTGTCCGGCAATGGATTGCAACCCTCAGTGTCGCGCCCGTACCAGACCGGGACCGGCAATGGGATCGCAACCCTCGGTGTTGCTCCCGCACCTCGCTCAGCCAGTGAGCGGGAACCGGTCTGTATGTGGGATCCGAACCCTCGGCAGGAGCGCCACCGCGCTCCCAAGTGGCGCACTGTAGCAGTGCGCCACCGGGCCGGCCCTTTCTATGAACTTTTTAAAGTACTCTCGTATAGCTGGAAATATGGCTGGAGGGGGATCTGGTAAACTTAAAGTTGAATTTGTGTAACATATTGTCTTAAATTGATATGAAATGGATTGGGAGAGACAGGTAGAGATTATGACTAATACCCATCCCCTTGGCTTTACCTCTACTTTCTCGTCATAAATGCCTGAATAGCCTCCTAACTAGTATCCCTGTCTTATGACACCTCCTTTCTCCTGAAAATCCTTCAAGGCTACTAATTGCACTTGAGATAAAGCCCACACCGCTGAACCTTGCCTACCAGGCTCTCCTGATCTGCACCCTCGTTACCTTATTTCTAGCCACTTTCCTCTCATACTCTGCTCTCTCACCATACTCAATTCCGAACAATTCGTCAAAAGTGCCATGAGTCCTCTTTCATTTGAGGCTTTGAACAACATTCCTTCTGCCTGGAGTGTCCAGTGTTTCTCGTGGCTATATCTTACTCATTTTATAGTTCCAAGCGTAGCTGTTTCTCCTTGATAGATGTTCTCTCTAGGTCTCTTCAACGTATTCTAACAGTCTCTCTACTTTCATTTTTCTTAACGGCTGTTATCATAATGCATCTTACATTTGATATTTCTGTACCATTCACAAGAAAGCAAATTCTGTAACATCAGGACCATATATACCTGGCTTAATATTGTATTCCTAGTACCTAGCACATTGTCTCGTACATAATAGATGCTCAGTAAATACTTATTGTTTTTAATTTAAAAAGAAATCATAATGATCTAATTCATCAATATATCAGTAATACAAAAAGTAAATATATATGCATTTTGGGGGAAAGACTTTGAGAGAAAAATGATTCGTTACAAACCATATGCATTGTCATGGAGTATTCTGGTAAATTTTATAGCATTTCAACTTTAATAATGAGGATTGGCTAGTTATTCATCATCTACCTGCAGGGTGAGATTAGCTCTCTAATGCAAGCTTTGTGCATAATTTCCATAGAAATTCACCTTGAGTTTCAAGCCTGCTGGCTTTCAAACGAGAACTACATATCTCTGGGGTCTCCAGCTTGCCAACTGCAGATCTTGGGACTTCTCAGCCTCCGTAACCACATGAGCCAATTCCTTTTAATAAATCTCTGTATACATATGTGTGTGTGTGTTTGTGTGTATATATATATATATATATATCCTGTTGGTTCTTTTCCTCTAAAGAACTTTGTCTAAAACTATCCCTTCTCGTCTTTTCTAGAATCATGTCCCATTATTTTTACACTTGCTTTCCCTGCTTTAATCTCAGCCTCTCTGGTGTCCTCTTTCCTTAAAACAACAAATTTCCCAAGTTCCCCCACATTCAAAGAATCCTAAAGTTCTTTTCCCTTCAATTTGCCATATTATCCTTTTTACCTTTCACTGCCAAATTTGTCAAAAGTGTCATTTATACTCGATACTTTCACTTCTTTACCACCCATCCCCTCCTTCATCCTCTCTCCCTACAACACTAAAACTACCCTATAAAATCCAATATTTCAAAAAATATTTGTTGTGACCCTGTTATATGCCATGCATGGTACAGGCACTGCTCATCTAGGGTCTCCTACTTCTCCAATCTGGAGGCTTCTCCTCTTCTCATTTTATTTAAGTTGAATGAATATTCTCTAGTGTTTAATATTCACCTGTTACAACTCTCTCATCTTCGGGCTTTCCCAGTGCCTTGCTCTCCTGGTTATTATCCAACCTCTCTGACAGTTCTTTCTCAATCACACTCAATGACTGTTTATTCTCTTCACATCTGTCTTTTTATTGTTCTTCTCATCTAATTCCTCTCTGTTTGGCTCTGGAAATTCTCACCCATAGTCAGGGCTTTAATGATCGTCTCTATTCCCTAAAAAGAGACATGAGCCAGAACTACAGTGCTAGCATGATCTCTATCCTGAATTCCAGACTTGAATTTCCAACGGACGGCTGCTCATCCTCACTTAGAAATATTTCTGACACCTCACATTTGTTTTGATTTTTAATTTCCAAGAAATACATGAATAAAGTTTTCAAAACTTAAATTACATATACAACTAAACTCCTTTCAATCTCTATACTTCCCCACACCCACATAAATTCTAACACACACACTCACACTCACACATACACAAACCACCATTAGAATTTTAGTGTATATGCTTCTAAACCTTTGTTTCATACTTTTATAAATATAAATATGAATCTAAATATATATACCCTTAGAAAATAGATACAGTTGTATTGTTTGAGAATTTTTACATAAACAGCATCACATAGTACACATTTCTCTAAACATTGCTTTAACATGAGTTTTTAAGATCTATCTACATGTCACTATAAAAAGATCTAGCATGTTCTTTGTAGGTGTTGAATAGAAATTCATCATTCACTTTACACCTTACCTAGCTATTTTCCTATCAGTGAACATTAATTTTGTTTCTAATATTTCACTATTACAAATAATGCCTCAGTAAACATTTTTAAATGGTATTTTTCTAGGATAGATACCTACAAGTTAAACTGCCCCCACCCCAAAGTAGCTGTGCCAACCTGTACTTTCATAGCTTATATGGGAGGATATCTTTCCTCATATTCTCATTAGTATTTGATATTATCAAACCTTTTCCTTTTGACTGTCTACTGGGTGAAAATTGATAATACATTATAGTTTTAATTTGCATTTTCAGTATTCCTAGTAAGGTTGAATATCTTTATATTTGCTCTAGGTTAATTATATTTTCTCTTCAGTGAGGAATCTTTGTACATTTTTTGTTGGGTAGTTTGCCATTCCTTTAGTGGTCCATAATAATATGAGGATACTTCAAAAAAAACAAACAGAATTAAAATACAAATCTTTCCATGAACCTTTTGAAGTACCCTTATATCTTATAGAATCCATTTACAAATTATTTGTTTCACTAATGTTTCAAGTATTTTCTTCCAATCTGTGATGTCTTTTTATAAATCTATCTTTTATTTCGATATAGCATATACAAGAAAAGCATGCAAATCGTGAACATATCAGACTCCTCATTGCAGCCTGCAAGCCACCTTGACTTTCACCTCGTATTCCAGCCACTGACACATTGACCAGTCTGTGCAGGCTCTGACCTGACCTTAAGACCTGAGGCATCTTGCCTTAAGATTTGCTGCATGGTAACTGGCCAATGCTGTGATGTGGGAGGCCTGTGGGAATCTTCTGGACATGTAGGAATGCACATTCAGAGGAGTAAAGGAGTTAGTGTCCCAGGGGCAGCCCTCAAGCAGTGAGACAGTGGACAAGGAGACATTTTATAAGAACTCTCAGGAAATCTTTTAACAATCAATTGTCCATAACAGGCCAAATCAACAACTCATCTTTGAATTCACTCTCCCTTTTTCCTTGTTTTATTATTCTGTCCCTCCCCTTTGCAAACTTCCAGAAAAATTACTCATCTATAAGTATTTATTTCAAGCTTTGCTTTTGGGTAACCCAGGCTAAGCTAACCGATGTACAGCTTGATACATTTCCTGAGGGAACCTACTGGGATAACCACCACTCTTATCAACATATAAAACATCGTTGATCTCACAGAAGTTTCTCTCACGTCCTCTATCAGACCACTAGACACCAGCACCTTTATTTCTGAGGTAACCAGTATTTTGTTTTCTAATGCCATAAATACTTTCTTCGGACTTTATATAAATAGAATCATAGAGTATATACTCTTTCATGTTCGGCTTCTTTGACCAATTTTTCATTTGTAAGATTCATATATGCTGTTGAGTCTGACAGTAGTCCGTTCATTTCTAACACTATGTGAAAATACCATAATTTGTTTATTATATTTTACAGTGGTTGGATATTTTGATCGTTTTCATTTTTTGATTATTACTAATAATACTAATGAAAACATTTTTTGTGCCCTTTGGTGCTCATATGTATGCATTTCCATTGATAGTTCTAGGAGTAAAGTTGCTAATCATAGAGTATGTTTATATTCAATTTCGGTAGATACTGAAGAGCAATGTTCCCAAGTGATTGTACCAATATACACTTTCGCCAGCAGGATATAAAAGTTCCAGGTGCTCCACATTTTTCATTACTTGGCTTTTTCATTTTTGTTGTTGTTGTTTCTGCCTTTTTGGTGAATATAAAGTGAAATCACCTTGTGGTTTAAATTTGCATTTCTCTGATAATTATTGAGATTGAGTGTCTTGTTATATTTTTTATGATGTTAATAATCTGTGCCTTATCTTTTTTTTCCTTCATTAATCTTGCAGGAATTAGAACTTTTACTAGTTTCCTTAAGAAAACAATGTTTGGCTTTGTTGGTTTTTTTCACTGTATATATGTTTATTTGTCATTAATTTCTGATCTTATCCTTATTATGTCTTTTCTTCTATTTCTTTTGGCTTAAATCGATGTTCTCCTTTTAACTTCTTGAGATGGATACTTAGATCATTGATTTTCAGTTTTACTCCTTTTCTAGTAATA